GGAAGTCTAAATTCTCCAATAGGTCCATGTCATCTGTCTCCGGCTCCGGCCCTGATAAAACCGTATGCAATACAGGTAGGCTTATAGCCTCTGGGATGTCTTCCTCTGACTGCCTGGAATGGTAAAGTTTCATGAGATTAATGTGAACAAGTTGTGAATCTTTTTTGCGATCAGGAGTATGGACTATATAGTTGAGGGGAGATAGTTTATTAGCAACTATATAGGGACCAGTAAACTGCTTTTAAGGGAGAGCCTGGAATGGGTAGAAAGAGTAACACTTTGTCACCTGGAGAAAATGATCTTTCAACTAATTTAGGTTGGGACTTCACCATTTTGTCTTGGACTTTTTTTAAGTTTGACTGAGCAATGGTTCGGACTTCAGTTAATTTGTCCCGTAAAGTGTCAATGTATTGGGAAACTGTTGCGGGCTTAATAGATGGAGTGTCAAACCACTGCTTCTTTACTATTTTAAGGGGTCCCCTAATTTGTCTCCCATATAGTAACTCGAACGGGGAGAAACCCAATGACTCCTGGGACATTCCCTGATGGCAAAGAGTAACAAGTCTATGCTTTCATCCCATTCCTTTTGGTGTTCTATACAGTATTTTTTGAGCATTGATTTGAAAGTTTGATGGAACCGTTCCAAGCAACCTTGGGATTGTGGGTGGTAAGCCGAAGATGTACAATGGTCCACACTGAGGTCTTTCATCACCCGTTTGAAAAGATTGCTCGTAAAATTGGTGCCCTGATCGGATTGGATCTCTTTAGGAATGCCCACTGAAGTGAAAAGGTGCAAAAGATGTTTGATTACGTTTTTTGAAGTGATGCTTTTAAGGGGAAAAGCCTCCGGATAACGTGTACTGGTATCCATAACTGTGAGCAGGAATTGATTTCCCTTCTTAGTCTTTTGTAATGGGCCCACACAATCCACAACAATCTTTTCAAATGGTGTAGAAAATACTGGGATGGGCTTAATGGGAGCTGCTGGTATACTTTCATTTGGTTTTCCTACCATTTGACAAATATGACAAGATTATAGGTATTTTGACACATCCTTCCTAAGTCCAGGCCAATAATAGTGTTGGAGGAGCTTTTATATGTTTTCAGGATTCCCAAATGTCCTGAAATACCATCATGGGCAAGGGCAATTAATGCTGGTCTGACTGAGGTGGGAATTACCACTTGATGTATTTCAGACCACGTGTCTAGCTGGGCAAGCTCAGGGGGCCTATAGGCCCTCATCAAAACCCCCCTTCATGATAATAAAACATCGGAAGGGTGTTAAAATCTTTACCCTCAACTGCTGCACATGAAGTTTAGTCAAAGATGGATCAGATTGTTGGGCTTAAACGAGCTCATCCTTACTAATTGTCTTATTGTACAGATCTTCTGTGGGTAGGAAAAATATTAGAGGTGGTTTAGATGAAGAGGGCTCCATTTCGCACACTCTGTGACCGGGTGACAGCACAAGATGGGAAAAGATGAGGAATAGTTTCTTTAAGGTCAGTGGTGGAGTTGACAGGTAAGGGAGAGTCGACTGTCTTTATGTTAGGAACCACAAGATCTCCTACCAAGTCATTACCCAATAATAAATGAATGCCGCACACAGGCATTGGGTCTTTCCTTATGGCTATTTGCACTTCCCCAGTAATCAAGGGACATTGGAGGTGCACTTTAGCTAAAGGATAGGAAGAATGGGATGAGAGATCCGAAATTAGAACACTCTCATTAGTAAATGCGGTAGATATATCAAGAATGACGTTAAACAGGAGGATAGATTGTGCTGCGCCCGTATCACGTAGTATACGAATAGGGAAAGAACGAGACCCCTCTATGATTGAAATTTTTCCCTTATAGGTGAATGAAGAGAAGAGATCCTGATGGGGCCTTTCCACATTGGTGGTTGCTATTGGTTTGGATTTGGGATCCAGGGAACTACTTTTTAGCAGTTCGACACTTTGGGTGTTTACAAGACTGGATCGTATGGCCTGGGTTTTACAGTAAGAACAATAAAACTTGGTTGCATCGGGGGGAGTAGGTGTGGACCTTTTCGACCTACCACTCACGTTCCCAAGGTTATCATCAGAGGAGTATCTCAATATGTCCGGGCAATTACGTTCTCTTACTGCCCAGTGACTCCACCAACAAAGCGTACGCATCAGCCAGCTCCAGCAGCACGCCCTCCTAAATTAACCTTCCACGCTCCTCCGTTACGCTTCAAGATGTGAAAATGGTATCTGTTTTCCACCTCCAGGACTACCAAATTTAACAAATCCTGAAATGTGGAGGCCCCTGTAGCCTCTAACCACTTCTTAAAAACCTAAGCTTTCTGAGCAAACTCAACAAAGGTGTGGGAAAATGGTCGGTTATTTACGAAACTTGCCGGTATCCATCTGGCGTGATAGCATAAGAGGTGAGGATATTCTCTTTTTACGTTATCATAGTCATCAGTCTGGTCTAAACAGTTATAAACTCTACGAGCCTTACCATATAATTTAGGAACTAACACTGACACCCACTGGTCCTTTGGCCACTCATTCTTCCCGGCTATTTTCTCAAAAGTCCTAAATGACCCGTCCATATCGGATTCATCAAACCCGGGAACAAGGGAAGAAGCAGTAGCAGGGTTAAAAGCAGCTAGTTTCTCTTAATGCCACTTCTTTTGATCTAAACTCCGATGTTAAGGTGACTTCTATCTCTCTTACCTGTAGTTCTTTCAGTCTAACCTCCTGCTCCAACTTGGCCCGTTCCATCATTTCCTCATGCTCCAACTTATGCTCCAACTTGGCCTGTTCCAACTTGGCCTGTTCCGACCTTTCTTCAGGCTCCAACTTGGCCTGCTGCTCCAACTTGGCCTGTTCCAACTCGAGTTCTTTCATTTTGATTTGGAACTCGAACCTAGCTCGTTCTAGTTCCAAGGCGTCTATTCGTTGTGTTTTTTCTTGAGGGCTAGCCAGACCTGAAGCAACTTCGGAGTGAGGAGGGGTGGTGGATAGTGGTTGAAGTTTCTTGGACATGGGCGTTAATCTGTCAACAGCGGATTCTTTTAAAACTTCATGTTGAACCAGCACTTCAATCACATGATTTTTTAACATTTCCTTTGTCAGTTGCTGTGAAAATGGGATATTATAATAGTTGGCTATTTCTTTCCATTCTTTCTTCAGGATATTAACACGTAATTTAGCTACGGAAGGATTTTCAATAAAATCCTGGAGATCAAAACCTGAGGTGGCCATTGTTAAGAAAAATAGGATAAATTAACTAATGGTCAAAAGATAAGATAAGTGGATTGCCCTAGAAAATATCACGGCAGTGGACAACCAGAAAGTCCCGGAAACTAACCAAGTTATACCTAGGGAAATTACACTTATGATTATTGTTCTTCTGAGAAGATCCTTAGATAAGGATAAGAGACTTGAAAGAGGTAGGGCGTATTACAGCATAAATATAAAGATCCGGATTAACAACCCTGATATACTTGAAAGAGGTAGGGCGTATTACGGCATTAATATAAAGATCCGGATTAACAACCCTGATAAATGGTATGATTGACCCTGAATGAGATAATGAGAAGAACAATAATTGAGGCTTTATAATTATGGGGTCCTGGTAGAGCGTGGCGTCCCAAGATATCACTTCACCGTAAACTAGTGACTATGGAACAACCTACTCTGGAGTGTGGGTACGGCATTAAACAGATCCGGATTCTTCCCAACACTCGATAAGACTTACTACACGACTGCCACGTGTAATAACAGGTAAGCCTTATGACACTTGGAACCTAATATCCTACGTCTGTCACTCTTACTATACGATAATACCAATATATGCACACACATATGAAGGAAACTTTAAACTACCGTAAAGCAATTGTGAACAGAAGTGACTGGGAGGAATAATTAACACTGAGTAACAAGGGAGGAAGGAATATGGTACTTAAGGTCGTATCCTGTCACGGTCGCCATTTGTTACGAGTTGGGGATTTAGAATATAGTTATACGTCTACCCAGATCCCAACAGGTAACAACAATAAAAAAACAAAGACAATCGGACTATAAAAGGGTAGACAAAGGATGCGAGTTTTCGTTGTATATAATAGAGTACCATAAATCCCTTAACAAAATATTCAGCTTATAAATTACCCTTAACCAAACTTAACCTAAACATTAACAGTATATACATATTAATAAACATAAAACAATCTCGAAGCAAGTGGACGTGGGGAAATTAATACAAGATAATAGTACTTAAGTGAGGAGCTGAGATGGCTGACGAGTAAGGCTGAGTATTGTAGAAGACGGTAGGTAGTCACTGCACGTAGGTTTAGAGGATAGATGATCCTGTGGTCACTTCCCAGAGCCAAGTCTCTCTCCTCGAATTGGAGCTGACAAAGAAGACTGAGGAGGTGACGCAACAACCAGGATAGGGAGAAGGGAAACCTCGGAGTGGTAACTAAGACGAGTCATACTCGTGTCTCGTCCCTAGATGGCGTTGCTCGTGGTGCTGGGTAGCTAGATCAGGACAATAGATGGCGTGGTTCGTAGTGCGGGGTGGAGGGGTTCGTAACAATATATATATATATATATATATATATATATATATATATATATATATATATATATATATATATATATATATATAACTTTTCCCATATACACGAGATACATGGATAAAATAATTACGAGCTAGATCTTGAAAATAACATAAATATGAGTACAAGGCGTAACATTTATTAGACGTTGATGAAGTTGATTTTAAAAATGGGGGCATGAAGGTTTGCTAAAACAAAAGGTGGGGATGTGAAAAAATGGAACCACTGATTTAAAGGCAGGGAGAATTTAGTATGAAAAATATTGCTTAATTTCATTCTTGTGGAACATTTTTTTTTGCTAGATTTTGAGATTGTATATTTTTTCATAGATTTAATTTTGTCAAGATGTTAATTAACATAATGATCAATTTATCACGTTTTCTTCAAGGATTTAATGCCCATTAAATGGATGGCGGAGGAAGCTATTCGTGAAGGTGTCTTCAGTGTTCAAAGTGATATTTGGGCTTATGGCGTCACCTTGTGGGAAATCTTCTCCCTGGGCGGCATACCATATCCTGGGAGGCCTGTCAACAGTGACTTTCTTCGGCAAATCGAGGATGGATATCGGATGAAGAAGCCAAAATATGCTACCCCTGAAATGTGAGTATATTGGCTGATATTGATAAGCTTCTCACTTTTACTTGTTTAAGCATTTTAATGATATTTATACATATATTATGAAAGTCTTTCATGAGTGCAAAGATTCATATGTAGGACTTGTATACTTATTACATGTAATATCAATAATACACCTCTAAAGCTTATGATTGTGGAAAAGTATAAAGTGAATCCCAGTGTGGATACAGTACACTGCAACCTATCCTTTGGTACACAAAGCGGCACCATGGCCGTCACTGCATTCAAATGATTAATTGATTGATTTAAACAGTTTATTTAGCCAGAAAAACACAGATATAGTGTCGATAATAAAAACAATATTAACATGGCTGAGCCAGTTGAGAGCCAGAGCTCTCTTGTAGGCACCTGATATATACTGTACATTTACCTCAAGGAAGTATTATGTAATATTTAGGATCATTTATATTATAAGTATATACATACGTTACAGTGGAATTGAAAACCATAAATATAATGAGGGAAGCAGTACAACATGGGTTGTATTAAGGTTGAACAAGAGGACAGAGGTGTCAGGATTATGTTTAGTTCGTTTTCAATTCCCCTACTTTGTAAAGTTAGGTACCTATTTATAGGTGGGTTGACTGGGAGTGCTTTAGAATCGATTCAGAGACCCTTAGGACTGGAGGCAAGTGTTTTGAATGTAAGCTTTACTCAGAAACCCATAAAATCTATGCGACCCGTTCTCACAATTCTTCTAACGGTACAGATAAGGCAATAGGAATAAAATAACATGATATTGAGTAAAAAATAAAGAAATCTAATTAAAGTAAATATATCAAAGGAGTTGTGCAATGATGTTTCATGAATGAAACGTCCA